GTAACAATTAAACAACATTTTCGGTGTGAGCACCATTTACCGACCTGTAAAAGCAGGTGAAGAGCAGAGTAAGGAAGATACGATGCCTCTCTGCTTTCCTCAAGAACGTGTCTGAGGAAGTAGCGGAAGGTGGGCTCCACTTACTGCACCCCAAAACCCTGGAGCAACCACCAAAGTTCCGCCCTCACTGCTTTCTAACATGAAATGAATCCCTGTTACATGGATTTTCTATCCTTTTAAAGAAACTGAAAATAAATACATATAGTAATGAAAAATGTCCCGTTACATGAGTGTTTTACACAAAATAGCACTAATGTGGTCATTCCCTCATGTGAAAGGAAATGAACAAAATATTTAAAGTCAATCATTCTGATCATAATTGTACTTTGACCTTTAACCTCTCTGCTCTGTGTTGTTTCCTCTTTCAGACCTGAAAATCATCACCGTTAAGTCTGGACAGGACATCACTCTGACATGTCGAGCTCCAAATGAAAATGACATCACTGTAGAGTGGAGCAGAGCTGACCTGGGAGATGAATATGTGCTTTTGTACCGGGATGGGCAGGTTGTTCCAGATGACCAGCATCCATCTTTTAAGAACCGGGTGGATCTGCAGGACAGACAGATGAAGGATGGAGATGTGTCTTTAATTCTGAAGGATGTGACAGTTAATGATACTGGAACATACGAGTGTCGTGTCCTCATGGAAGGAACACAATCATCGGATCTCATCAGCATCATCTATCTTTGTGTTGTTGTTCCTCCAGGTGAGTGAGTAGAGTTGAGTGTGTGTGTGATCAGAGGTGAAGCTGCTTCCTGGTTGTTGATGTTTGTTTGTTGTATGGATGAGCTGGTGGATGTCAGAGGTAGACAGATGTTTCTCCAGCTGTTGTCTTTGTGGCTGGTAGTCTAGAGTTGTGGTGGTTGTGAGTCTGTCAAAGTGAATCCTGCCGGTACCATAGCTGGTGAAAACATACTTGGTGCAGACACAAAACGTCCATCAGCTTTAAAGTGTGTCAGAAAGAATTCCACATGATGACTGATAGATGAGAGAGGTCCCGTTTTTGTTGTTGTGCACAAATCATTGAACAACACAAACACTTAGAGCTCCTTTCAGTGCTGCCTGTTTTGTTACTGCACACATTTCTGATGGTCCTACAGTCCAACGAAGAAAATGTAGTTAAGCAGAAAAGTCAGGGGTTACATCTAAACAGAAAACTAAACAGCAGTGATGTTTGTAGGGTTACTGAAGTTTGTCTAGCTGGTATATAATGACGTGCTACAGGATCGCTAGCGAAACAGCTATGATTAGCATAACATAAACCCAGTGAAGCTGGAGGATGAACGTTAACCTTTTTTTCACTTGATAAAATTTAACATGAGGGTGCTTGATGATTAGAGACAAATGCAATCACATGGCAGGATGCTGTAAATGGACCAAACTTCAGTCAGAACAACTGAGATAATCCATCCACAACTCGAGGTTAGTCATTAATATACTGCTGCATTGGCTGGGCTTTAGTTAGATTGTAAGATTTTTAAAACTGAGCTTTAAAACAAGTAGTGGCAATAAAAACCAAGATAGGCCAACAGTGATCATTAACTGTTTTGAGGGGCTTGTTCATATTAAATAGAACAAGATACAAAGCATTAAAACATGTTCAAAACACAACAGCCTTAATAAACGCACAGTAATTTGGCCTCAGGAGCAGGGTTCATTGTATGTAATCATTTAAAGACCAGATACACAGTGCAGGTAGCACACCGCTTTCCCCTCCTGAGTCACCTGATGGTTTGCCAGAATCTCTTCGAGGCAGTCCAAAAGTCTTTTTCCATGGCCTCTCTGAACTCTTCCCACACCCAAGTTTTCGCTTCGGTCACTGCCCGAGCCACGTTCTGCTTGGCCTATCAGCTGCCTCCGAAGTCCCAAAGGCTAACCAAGCCCATTAGGACTGCTTTAGCTTTGTGGCTCCCTTCACCTCTGGTGGCCTCCATTTGGTTCGGGGGTTACCACCACGACAGGCACAAACTACCTTGAGGCTGCAGCTCAGTCCAGTGGCTTCTGCAACGGAGGTAGCACCAGCCAGACACTGAACACACAGACACCTGCACTGTTTCTGGCCCGCATTAACCTCCAGGATAAACTATAGATGAACCTAAAGTAACAAGTCTGTCTGAAAATGTAAAGAAAGAGAAAGTACACATATTTGTTTAAAAATGTAGTGACTCAAAGTAAAAAGGTGTCAGACAATAAATACTCAAGTAAAGTACAAATACCTGAAAATTCTACTAAAGTTGAGTAATGATGTGTTTGTATCTTGTTACGTCCCACCTCTGGGGAAGGCATCTCTTGGGTAGATGGAGGCTGTGTGGAATTAATGTCTGTTGCTGTAATCTAGAGCTGGGTGATGCAATGATAAATATAATAATTACACAGTAACTTCTACTCAATAGAAATAAGAAACCTGTTCAACAGGAAGTTAATTTATTCCATCCTTATGTTGAAAAACATTACGAAAGTTCAATAACAATGAAAATAGCATCACTCTGAACCAATCACATGGCAGGAATAAACTTCGAGTCACAT